AGAATGGTCTACCGAGGATGCTTAAGAAAGGTTACCGGTGGATGCCATACTCTTCGCATGAATACTTTCGGGTTTTGAAGGGAGATGAATTTTCGAAGTTCGCATCTAGTTTGTCGTTATGGGTGACGAGAGTTTTGGGATTCGAGTGGTTTAAGGCAAAGGGTCTCCCTGGTGACAAGTGGGTTTGGCATGACGTAAAACTCAGTCGGACTAAGCGGGATGACGTCGTAGAATTGCACATCAAGTTAGTTCGGAGAAAGTGTTTTGTTAGAACATTAGTGTCTCTGGGCGTACGTTATTGGTGTTTTCTGTTTTTGATTCGAAGTTGGCGGGTACTACTAATACGGGGGTTCTGATACTTTGAAATTATGGTCTTTTTACGATATCATTCTTACTAGGTCTCTCTATAACCGCTTGGCGTATACAAGTCATGTATAATTAAGATTGGTAAGACCTTTGACTGCGTAACCCTGCCCTAAATCCTCAACTAAGCAAGGAACGGGAAACAAGGCGGGATTACTTACTAAGCCATCATAGTTTACCCATTAGGGCTTCAAATTTTAAATGAATGTTGTGATTTAATTTGAACGAAAGAGTAATCATAATTATAAACAATTATTGGGGTTTTGAAAGCGTACCAAAAATATAGCATGGTTCTTTGATGCTTCCCCATTATCTGGGGTCAAACTCCTCCTGCTTCCCCGTCGTTCCTCTCTGTTGGACAGTCTCTCTTGAAATGTCCTACTCCACCACATAGGTGACATTTTGGACTGGTCCCAACATTGGTAGTCGAAGCGATGAACTCGACTGGGGTCCTACAGATACGGACGGTGTGTCCCTTCTTGTTGCATCTAAAGCAATGCAACACTCGGCAGGCTCCATAATGATGGTAGTTGCAATTGTTGCAGTATGGGAGGTTTCCCAAGTACGGTGCGATTGGTGTTGGAATAGCAAAGGTTGACGGGAGTGTTGATAAAATGAGCTTATGAGTAACAATGGTTGCCTCATGATGTATTCTAAATGTTTATATAGGCATGAAAAGTTTCCATTTTGCTATCTGATTCACAATGATTCGACCCACATCCCTATGATGTAGTCCTAGTAAGAATAGAAGTAAGTTTTTAGAATGGTTAGAGACCGAGTGTCATCCGAACTAAGTTACCTTCGATTGGTGGATATCGATGTCCAACTTTCGAAAAGGTTTGAAAACGATTTCTAATAAAACTCACATAGAATAGACTTATGACTCCCTTTGCTGCTCAGCTCATTGGGCTGGCTGGATAACTCTTGCATTTCCACCGGCGCTATACGTTATGGAGATCTAGCTACAGGAGTGGCTCCGGGGATCAAGTCGATACGAGACTCAACTTGGCGCTCGGGAGGAAATCCCTGGAAGATCTTCAGGGAATACATCAGGAAAGTTGCAGACTTCGGGGATGCTCTCGATGTCTTTAACTTTTTATGTTTCATCCATAAAGGGAGTCTATGTGTAATAAACTTTTGGATTTGCATTGGCTATTTTGGAATGAATTTCTGACGAGACGTTTGTGAGGTGGCATAATGTTGCCAAAAAGGTTAAAAAGACGCAAGAGGTTAAATCCCTAGATGTTACGAATCGAGTGTATCCTGAATCGAAGTTATCTTAGATTTGAGGGTTGCATGATTTGTCGTTCGAAGAAATTCATAATAGAGGTCTACGCAACATAGACTTATGAACTTGGTAGTGACTACCCTCTTGATGAAGTTATGGAATCTGGTTTACTGTTACTCAACTCATATGATAAGGCAATAGGCCTGCCACGAGGTGTGAGCAGTGTAGTCACTAACTCACCAGATCATATTAGTTAGTTACTTATTTGCTTGCTACTGTTTTATAATATATTTTCGATAATAAAAATCTTTAATCGAAATAAGATTGTTGTCGCTGTAGTTGGTATTGAGATTACACGAAGTTCGGAAAATTTGACCTAGGAGTAGGTCTACCACATACCAACAGAGGAACAATTTGATAACATAAGGAACTAGTGAATCAGTACTTGCAAGACAGGAATGTCTACAAGGAAAAGAGCTACTTAGAGCATAGATATGAAAGCTATCCTTTAACCAAAAAGGAAGGTTGAGTAGAGTATTCCCTATTAACGACGGGCACCCCTCGGAGGAAACCTTGATTCGATCAGCCGACGCTCTACACCAAGTAGGCGGCTCTTGTATACTGACTGGCGTGCTCGGAGCTCTATGACCTCAGCTCGAGTTGCAGCTAGCTCTCGCTGCAGAGATTCATTGTCTCTCATAGTTCTCCCATGAGCAACTTCGAGATTGCGAATGCGGTTTGTGTTGGCGTCCGAGTCTGCCTCAAGCTCCACAGTTCGATGAATGGCCGCCACGTTTAGTTCAACATTGCGGGCCACTCGACGGACTATGATTGGAAGAGCTCTATCTGCGGAGCCTCCCTCGTTTACATTGTAGAAGCGGCGATCCCCATCGTACAAGCGGTGTTGGCCTTGTTCGTGACTCCACCTATCCAGGATTCCGACCCACATAGGTGTTGGGCCTTCGAACTCAAGTCGGGGGTTAGGATTTGGTATCGGGCTACTTGAGGTAGGTTCTCGACTTCAGGTTCTGAGTCGGCCTCTTCGGGGAATTGTTCTGCGAAGTCATTGTCCAAGGGAATTTCATGATTTTCTTCTGGCTCTGCCTCGACCCATCCATCATTTCCTTGGTTGGGAAAATATGGGTCGCCAGGAAGATTGAAGCCAGCCATGCTATCTACGCGAGAATAGAGGCGAAAGGGATAGTTAATAAACTCGGAGTCTAATAATACTCCTATAGTATTATAATCGTATGCTTGATATTTTTCCTTTATCTTATAGTAACTAAAATACTCCTATAGTATTTTAAGTCGTATGCTTTTGGTTCTACCGGTATCTGGTGTACATATACTTGGTAAGTTTTAGGCTTGCTGCAACACCACAGTCACTCCCAAGAACATGTTGGTCATGTCTCGAATAAATATAGTTGATCATGCTATATTGACCCTAGACATGATTACATAATTGTCCAGGTTTAACCATAATGTCCAACATCCAAATACTTTTATTTTGTTCTTCTTGTGATTCTAGTTCTAGTATTTATATATATATATATATATATATATATATTCTGAATATATCTGTACTTTTATAAAATATTGATATATTTTTAAAGTATAATTCTTGGTCAGAGTGTTTTTATCCCAATGTGTTTATAGTTGTATATCTTTTATGATTGATATAGTGAGTTCACTATAAACAATGCTCTGATACCAATCTGTCACACCCCCAAACCGGAACGGCGGAAATGTTCGGGGGTGGAGGACGTCATGTAAGTATCACAACACATGCATTATAGTAATCAAAGTACATCCAACCATTGCATTATTAGGTACAAGTTTTACATAGGTATTTTAAATATTTCAAATTAAAACATCAAAGTAGATACAGAAGACAACAGGAGTCGCAGTACGGTACTAAGCAGTCTCCTCAAAAGCTTCGGGGTGTACCTGTCTACTAGAGCCCTGAGAATACAAGTAAGTTTTGAAAGAGTATCAACATAAAGTTGGTGAGTTCATAAGCATTTTGTTTTTAGAAAGACGGTTCTCGGTTCTTTTGAAAAGTGCGATATCTTTCCCACTATCTGGTGTAATAGATGTATAAACCTTAAGTAAAACTAGCCGTTTACCCGCGCTAAGCGCCGAGCGGCAAAGAATTTCTTTCGGAATATAGTAATATGATGATTAGTTTTTTAAACATACATTTTGATAAATGAGAACAATGAAGAGTTTGTTTGCTCTTGCGTCTCTCCAAATGAAATCCACACGAACAGGTGTCAAAAATACCACAAATGGAAGTTTAATAGCAATGAAAACGCATCAACGTAAATGTGACCGTTCATGATTCTAAAAAAAATCTTTGAATTAGTATAGAAAAATTTTATGTACGAAAATATACTCGCCACTATCGATGATCAATAAGAATATATATTTAAGGCTTTGTGTAGATAGTACTTTAGGTCATGATACACAAGTATCTAGTTATGAGATCTCATTAAGTGTTTTATTTATGTTTAGCTATACATGATTTTCGGTTTATGAAAATATATGTTATATTTATATTCATTTATTATGAGTGGAAGGTAATAAATTTATCACCTATAAATATAATATCTATTTGATAATTTAGAAAGCGCTTTGTGTGAATTCATAAGTTAACATAGAAACCTTTTTGTGCTTCCACATAAAATGAGTGTAACGTTTACATATTTCAAAACAAATTGATAAGAAAAATATTAGCAAAAAGCGTGATTAAATATTTCAAAACAAATTGATAGGAAGTAAAGCATGCAACTACCCAAATATAGCAAGTTGACAAACTTCCCTTTCAAGCCCTTCACAAAGCCAACCCATTAATCAGAAACAAGAATCCACAAAAGGACATTATTTTAACATAATAAGCTAAATCATGTTCTAAAAGTGATGAAAAAACCTAGGCAGTGTATGCACAGTTCATCAGTAGTTTCAGGGATCAACTGTTTCACAGAAGCAATTTGAATTGCTATATATGGTCAATGGCTGGAAAAACAAATATATAGTACACAATGGAACTACATTACCCAGTGAAGAAGCAGATCAACAGGAGAATTTAAAGGGATGATATATAAATATTTTACATTAAAAAAACAAAAAGTATCATCATGATTATTGATTAGCAAAAGGCATGATTAATTGCTTCGGATTTCTATCCTTGGCTGGCTAGAAACATAATAAAACATATTTCGTTCTAGAAAAATAATCTTTAAATTTCTTTGTGACAACGATCGGTTAAGTTTGTTAATTTTATTTTTTCAATTTATATACTTTTTCAATTTATATAATAAAAATCAAAAAAATAAATAAAATAAAATAAAAATAATCAATTGACTTTATTTTTAAACTTATCCACCTAAATAAACATATAACCACTTCATCACAAATTCACATTGAGGCTCAAAGTTAAGCTATTAAAAATATAGAAGCCATAACCAAAAGGAGCAATGTCAGCCAATTTCAGAACAAGAAGAAAAACAGTTACTAACATACATACTAGTATACTACTATATGACATGTGAATCATTACCATGGTTCCGTAGGATACAGGTCCACCGATTTTACTCTTTCTGATCTTTGAGCAAGCTTCCTCTGCACAAAAAATAAGTACTTGTCATTATCGAACAAATGTTTTGCAATAATATCAACACGAAATTGAAGTAACTAAAAGTACCTTGATATCGAGCCTCAGAGGCTGTCCCAGAACGAAAAACAAACACCAACAATTGAAGTTCCAACATTAGTAATTCAAAACCGGATCTACACTAGAAAATAATCATCATATATATCATATATCATAAATCATATGAGGGGATAAAAATATAATATGATTAGTTGAAGAGATGAAACTAAGTGTGTCATGTATTACCTGCAACACCAAAAGTTATGTTCTTACTGGTGGGGACGACTTTCATTTTATAACGCTGCCCAGGAGGAGCATCCAAATCCTCCTCCAACGAAAACCCATTTTCCTAATACATAATTACAAATTCATTCAATATCAACTTTTATCAATGAACATGATTGATGATACCATACCAGAAGTTGAGAACTAACTGTCACAAGAAGTGGCTTCAGATCTAGAAGTTCAGTGTGTGCCGTATGGCTCTGAATAAAAGAAAAAAAAAAAAAATACCAAATTTAACTTTAAAACAAGAATCGACAATCACAAACATTTTTGAATGTTAATTTACTAAAATCACCTCCGGTAGGGCTAGATTCTTAAAAGAGATAGTATAGAAAGCCTCAGATTGCAACCAAGAATCAGAAACAACACGAATGTAGTATTGAGGAGGATGTGGTTCAAAAATTGGCACAGTGAAGGAAAGCTTTTGTGGTTCACCTTTTGCTGCTCGTTTTGTCAATGTAAAAAGTTCCGAGTGTAGATATGATCATTCTCTGAATCCTACATGATTTTATTTTTTTCATAAGAGATTCCGCACTAATACAATGGACTTTTTACTACCATTGAATTATAAAATGGCAGATTATAATCAACATAAACATTAAAAAAGAACCTCAACAAGAATCCACCAACGTTGTGCAGCACCATGCCAGCGATCTTTCCATACAAAGTCTGGAGTTAAGACCAGATCTACATAAAAAGAATCTCGATATCAATATGCTGTATATAAAAACTCCATACTAATGGTTGTCAAAAGAGTTACCTTTAAAACAATTCTAGTGATCGGACTTATTGTGGCAGACAACAAGATTGATGGAAAGAATCCTATATAACCACAAATGTTAAATTTCAAAATGGTTTCATAATTAATCAAATATAAAGGTAACATACGGGGCCAAATGATCTTGAATTAAAGCTAGAAGCTGAGTTGTCACCTTCTACCCAACAATGTCCTTCCGGAACCTTCACAACACCACTAACATTACTGATAAATCACATGAAAATAATTATTAATTACCTAAAATATCCTGTAACAAATTCTGTACAATGCACTCATTGAATATTGGATTTTAAAGAAAATACCAGCAGTATCCCATGATCCTAAGTTTACCATATTTCCATCCACAGCCACATTAGCACTGAAATTAACCAAAAGATCAAACCCACAGATTATACTTAGCAAAAACTTAGGTAAAAATGTTGTGGTGACTTGTAATTTGTGAACTGGAAGTTGTAAAAGAAGGTCTAATTTAGAAGAAGGGAGCTAAATGAACATCTAAAGAATCTGAAATTAGGTTAAGGTTACTCAGAAGAACAAATTCAGAAGATAATCCTACAAATAAGAAGGCTAACAGCTAAAGAATTTGAAATAAAGTGGGTTTTTCCAAGAAATTACATGAAAATGTATATGTATGTATATATAGAGAAAGAAAGATTTACAGTGTGGAACTTGCTGCGTGTGTAACAAATGAGCATACAAGTCTTGCCAACAGCTCCATCACCAACAGAGACAATGTTATGAACTTTGAAACACTCATTCTCGTGTTCTTAAGCTCCTGCTACTTTTTACAGTGATGATTTTAATGAAAGACAAACCCTAAATAAGTGTGTTTGAGAAGCAAGAGTGATGGAGAAGTTTCAGAGGAGAGAGAGGGGTTCGTGCAGAAGAAGACAATGACGAAATAGGTGCCAAGAGAAAGGGGCACCTTGTTCCACGAATGTACTCCTATGGTTTCAACAAACAAAGAAAGAAAAACTTTTATTAATTTGATGAGTACAGAAATAACAAACAATGTAACGAATATTTATGCCAGCCCTTCTTGTGGATCTTTAGCCTACAAGGCTATCAGCTTAAGATGTGTAATCAATCTGGTAAACGCAAATGTCTTGCTTTAAAATTGTTAACATCAGTTTCAATTTTACAGAAGATCGACAAGAAATTATGAGAAATGTGATCGATTTTTGCATACCTGAATGGTTCGATTCCGACAGATTCGCTGCTGAGTTTCAGTCTGATGGCCCATCCGGCTACTCCGACGACATAGGCGGAAGCTTGGTAGGTGACGTGGATCAGGTATTTGCGCAAAGGAGGTAGTGGTGGACGCTCGCCACCATATGCTCGGTCGATTAGGGTTTTTTGGTGCACACCCAAATCCATACACGAATTCGATCCGGTTTGAGCAATGAAGAACTTGTTGAGGTGATTGAAATGGCTTGAAATGTCTTCTGGTTGATGGGTTGTAGATGATTATGTCACGTGTGCCATCGATTAAACATACTAATCCATTGCAAGAACCCAGAATCTTGATTGAAGTTTTAGGGTCCGTCTCAGGTGGCTTTGATTTGGTGAGTAGTGTTGCGTGTAGGAAGGAGACGGAAAGAATAGGGTTTCGATTTTGTGATGGCGGCTGTTGTGTGTAGAGAGAAGATTAGGATACATCTAATACTAATACCGTGTATAGCTATACAATGTGATTATAAGCTTAATATTATTGTACATGAGGTAATAAGTATTGTACCTCTTAATTTTCAAGAAATGGGCAATATCCTTAATAATATAGTAAAGATAATCTTTTGATATCTCTTGAAAGTGTTCCTCAAGAAAATCCCATATTTTCTTATGAAAAGCATGATTAAACCCATTTCTTCTATGACTTCTTGGTTTATACTAGTCACGCATGAACCAAGGAGTTATGGAGGAAATATGAATATTCGTTGGTTGATTAATAAACCATCTGTTTATAAAATACTGATGTTTACCCTGGGAAATCCTACATTTCCCTTATGTGAAAGTTATTGAATTACCCGTTCTAGATTGGAAAGTACAAGTATCTACCATACTTATATCGGTTAAGCATTATTCCTTTTGAAAACCCTGGTTACTCCCAGTGATGTATATTAGTCTTATTACATAAACAAAACTAATTGAAGAGTGAAAGTATCTACCATACTTATATCGGTTAAGCATTATTCCTTTTGAAAAACCCTGGTTACTCCCAGTGATGTATATTAGTCTTATTACATAAACAAAACTAATTGAAGAGTGAAAGTATCTACCATACTTATATCGGTTAAGCATTATTACTTTTGAAAAACCCTGGTTACTCTCAGTGATGTATATCAGTCTTATTACATAAACAAAACTAATTGAAGAGTGAAAGTATCTACCATACTTATATCGGTTAAGCATTATTCCTTTTGAAAAACCCTGGTTACTCCCAGTGATGTATATTAGTCTTATTACATAAACAAAACTAATTGAAGAGTGAAAACCCGTAAACCAATGATTAGTTTATACTTATTGTGAGTCGTATAACCATGCTTGATATGACCTAGAGACCTTTACAACGTTCTTCAGGCGTTGGTTAAATGACATTTGTCACCCCAGGCGTGCCCGCCTAACTGTAGCTAGCAGTTCAGGTGTGGGATTGTCAATCCCGAATAGATCTATTCACAAATCTCACGCTCTCCCTCCAGGAGACTCTGGTTATACTAGGATAGGATTTAATTCAGTACACCTAAGGGTACAGTTTGAAGTAGAGCCTCACAACCCTGTATAATCTAGTTTACGTGTAACTCTAGAGTGCTTTCTTGAATTAGAGTCCATTGGATGCGGTATAAGGTAATAATTATGCTTAAATAATTATTAAATATTATACTCCTGAGAAAATATATACCGTAAACTAAATATGTCATAGTTTATATATATATTCACTCATAAATGAAATCTGAATTGGTAAAATCTGAACATTGGATTCTCCCAAACTATACCTATTATAGTTTACTTGAAATGACACGGAAATACTTTGTGTAAATCATTCTGAAGACTATGAACTTATGTTTTCAAAAATAACAGCGTCCCTTATACTCAACGCTGTACAAAAGGGATAAAATATCTAAATATTTTATTAGCCGTGGAAATTGTTGAACTGTATTAATAAGTTTAAAACTTAATAAAATACTTTGTGTTTGGCTTGTATTCCCCCCCTGAAAACATTGAAAACCGTAAAAGCGTAGGGGTATGAACTCACCTAGAATGAATGGTTTGAATGAAGGATCGATATGGGATGTTGAGTGTCAAGTGAAGCCTCGAACACAATTGGATCCTAATTATCATGTAATAACACATATATGATTCAAATTAGGGTATTTCACGACTAGACATGATAGAAAACCACCCTAAGGACTTGAAAACACTTGAACTAAGTGTTAAAGCCATATGTGGTTGAGTGAGGGAGGTGTACGGCCACCCTAAGGGTGTGTGCGGCCATGGGTGTGCGGCCCATGAGTGTACGGCCATACACTCATGAAAGAGTGTGTATGTTGAGGTGTTTTCAAGGCCCTAAGAAGCATCAAGGAAGTGTTCTAGGCCCCATGCTTGGTTGAAATGCAAGTTTGATGCCCAAAATGATCATCAAAGTGGGTTTGCGGCCATAGGGTGTGTGTGCGACCGTACAAAGGGGTGTACGGCCGTACAACCTCCATGTTCATGCAAAAGTTGGCGACTTTAAGGTGCATCAAGGCTAGGGCTGTGTCCAACTAGAAAATAGGGGCCAAACTCCCACTTTGGAGAGCCTTTAAGGAGTGTATGGCCAACCTTATGAAGGTGTGCGGCCGTACTCCTTCAAAGGGTGAAGAACATGATGATTCAAGGCTTAGATCAAGAGGTCCTTCAAGTATAATAAGCTAGGTGATGGAAAACTCACGTTTTTGAGGCCTTGGAAGGGTTCACCGTTGATGAAACTTGAGAGAGAAGGAGTAGTGTGCAGCCAAGAGAAGAAAGGAATGAAGGAAAGGGGTCTACTCATATATATAGGGGTGGTGACCCACCACCTTGAGTGTGCTGCCATGGGGTGGGGTGTATGGCAGCACATCCATGTGTACGGCCGTACACTCCTCCTAAGAGAGTGTATGGCCCGATTTTGCTACTTTGTGACTTGGTAACTCATCCCTAATTTCAACCTTGGTTGTACTTGAGCTTAGAACACTTAAACGAACCCTTAAACAGTTCTAAAAGGCCAGAGAAACGAGTTTAACATTGATTGAATTGACTAGATGTACAAGATAGAAGTTCCGAGTTGTCACAAAGCTGCCCGGAGCGTTTCTCACGACGTGGCACTTTGGTTGTCACATCATGACGAAGGTTGAACCACGACTATTTTGTCTCTATTATGTCACGACGTGATCAAACGGTGGTCATGACGTGGCAACCGACTGAATGACTTTTTGAGTGTTGACTTTGACTGCATCGTTGACTTTTTGACCAAGTTTGACTTTAGATCAAACTTAGGGTTTGGGTTGTAGTTTGAGGATTGGTAGTTGTTTGTTGTATAGGTGACTTGTACAACTGGTTATCATATGTGATCAATACTGTTATATTCTAGAATGCAAGGTGAGTTTCTCACTATACTCGTGAGTCGAAGGCACCAATGGCGGTCCACTAGACTGTGTTATGTATCATTGTGTATAAGATGTTGTTATGTTGTTGTGATCTGTTAGATTGGTAGATATGTATGATTACCTGTATTGTTGGTTTTTGTTTATATGTTGCATATATCGACATAATGTGTTTGAGTTGAGGCGGTACGACTTTGTGTTGTAGGCCAAGAAATCCATGGGCAATCCAATCGGAAGACTATTGGTCAGGGGCAATCCAGTCGGGAGACCGTGGTCCAGGAGTAATCCAGTCGGGAGACTGTAGGCTCAAGGGCAATCCAGTTTTATATTGTGGGGCATTGGGGCAATTCAGTTTTATATTGTGGGCCCCGTGTGTATGCATTGTTTATATATCGTTGTGTGGGGTATTTTGGGGGAACTTACTAAGCTTTGGCTTACAGTTGTTGATTTCAATGTTTTCAGGTACTTCAGATGATCGGGGCGTACACATCCTCCTGTTGTTTTACGTTTTGATAGATTATGTGGATACTATGATTTTCATGGATATGATTTAAAAATAATGGTTTTTTATCTATGATTTTCTTTTGGAAATGTTTTATAAAATTTAAAAATTTTATCATGGTTTTTTAGATGTTACAAGTAGACGTTTCTTGATTTGATGATAAACTTCTTGATTGAAATCTACAATGGAGGTTTGTTAATCTGCAATGGTGTTGGTGATACTGCAAACTATCATAACCACATCCAAACACCACCCGTTGTTCATTATCCTCGTTATGGCCTAATCACCACCATTGCACCACCCAAACTGTCATCATCTCATCCCGAAACCATCATACAGATGAACACCACCATACAGATGAATCAATTTTCTGGAGTGTTTGTATGTGTATGTCTTAAATCAATTTTCTGCATAATCGATTTTCTTGTGGATTTGAGAGAGAGAGAGAGAGAGAGAGAGAGAGAGACAAATCACCCGTTAACAATTAAATAAAAGAAGGGGAATATAGTATTTTCATTATATATTTAATAGAAAACTAACGGTGTCAGTCATAAGGACCATTTTAGGGCAAAGTTTGTTCCATTGGGACCATCCATGCAAACCAATGTTTTGTAGGGACTATTTTAGGGACAAACATAAAAGTTTAAGGACGATCTGTGAAATTGTGTCTAATTTAAAAGAGTAAATTACAAAACTGGTCCATGTTGTTTAAAAAAAATGCCCATTTTCGACACGTAACATTTGGTCAAAAATGTAATTTTTTGGTTTTGCTCCTAAAACATTTAAATAAACTTAAAATTACTATGTTACCTTTATTACTTTATTTTCCATTTTTCATATTTAAGTTATTAAATTAAAATACAAAAAGAAAATAAAAACTCACCCTTACCCCTCCGCACTATTTATCTAAACACCACCGCCTCCTTTAGTGAACCCATTTTTAGTTGCCTCTGCGGGACAATGCCACCGCCACGCCCCGTTGCCAAACGGAGCCACCACCATTGGAGAAGACGAAGAAACATATTTGTAGGATCTAAAACACACACAAAACCCACGTCTAAATGGAGCTGCCATTAGAGAAGATGGTTTATGTAAAGTATAACTCCTAGCACACACCGTTTTCCACATCCGTCCTAGCACCGCCATCTCATAGTGTTCAAATATCTGAAAATGAAAGCACACCTCTCTTTCCCTCACAAATCTAAGAATGGATACATATAGCTTTCTAATAGCCTAAAAACCCTAACCGATCGGTGATGGTGCACTAGGGTTAGGGTTTTCCAAGTTCATATTTGACTCTCTCATAATATGGAAACCTATATCGATGTTTCGGTTTTCCAATTTAGAGTTTCAGAAATGTAAATAGTGATGGTGTAGGTGATGATATGGAAAGTGAAAATCCATTTCATGATCATGATGATTTGGAAACCCATTTGATGATCATTTCCATGTATTTGTTTGTAAGCTTAAACAGAAAGTTAAAACCCATTTTTTATTTACATTTTTCGCAAATTTACTCGGTAAAACCGAACATTTTTGTCAAACTTAAGGGATTTAGTGAACCATAAAAATGAAAAAATCGAACATTTATGTCAAATGTAAATGCTTTAATTAACCAGAAATACACAAAAAGGGTAAAACTGAAAAACAAAAAGGTTGCTAACATCCAGCTTTAATAAACCTACAATACAAAAAAGTTTTAACACCCGTGTTCCAAGGTATGTTCATTTTGGCTTGGTGTATTAATTTTCTTGTACTTTCGGTCCTTACGCGGGGCGTAGATTGCAGCTACACAGGGCGTAGCTAAGAAAGTTGGACGCGGCAATTCCATGTAGTACGTAGGGCATACCTTACGTACACAGGGCAAAGAGCCGATGAGCTCAGACCCTATTTTTTGTAGGGTTGAGACCTTATTTAAAGGCTTTATAACCCTTGAGGCCTCCCTTATTATCAACCTCCATCCTCCCCAACCAATGTTTTAAAACCCTAATCCTTGATTAGCTTGTGTGAGCCTCTTTTGTGTGTTCTTGGTGCATAGTGAATGAGTAGAAGTTTTTCCTTGAGGATTGTGGTGGCTAGAGCTTGAAGATCGAGGGCCTTCATCACCTTTGCAAGCTTCTGGAGGTATAAAACTCTTGCCTTTACGGTTCCATGGCTTAATATCTAGACTAGCTTTGAGATTTGCATGCTTTGGTCCCATGGTTTGGTTCTTGTGAGTAAAAGCTACTCCAGAGCTCAAGTTTGTCATTTTATGTTGTTTTTGGGGATCTTGTGTCATAAAAATGAAGTATTTGTTGCTATTTCTCACTCATGCAAGAGTTTGAGGTTATTAAAGAGTGTTATGGACTTAGGGTTTGGTTTTGGGCTATATTAAGCCATGAGAAAGCTTAAAGTTGTCGACTTTATCAGTTAAGACCTTCCCAATATTAAGATCTATGAGTTGGATGTTTAGTTTTTTGGTGTTAAGAGCTTAAAAGGTGGTTTTGGGCAATAGAGGATTACGCAGGGCGTAACCTCTAGGTACGTATGACGTAACGAGTTTATCCCTGAACCCTTTTTTGTTGAAGCCCAATACGTCGTGCGTAAGGAAGGAGTACGCATGACATACTCCCAGAAGTGTTTTTGGGCCATTTTTGGGCCTTGGTCCATATTTGGGTGGGCCTAGCTTGGAAAGGGTAATGTGGACTTTTACCCTAGTGAGAGAGAATATGAAATGGACTTTTGATTTTGGGTTATTAACCTAATTATTAATTAGGGTTGGTTTTGGTTATGTCCAGTGTGCAGAACCTTTGTAGCAGCAGCTCGAGTGTATAAGTTGTTTATCATCGGATTGAGGTGAGTCTTCTCACAATATTTTGTGGGTCGAATGCACCAATGTCAGCCCATTGATTTATGTTTATAGGATGCTAGTTGTCAGTGTGACTCTTGCATGTATTGTATGTGTTTGTATGTATACCAGGCGGGACCCGATGCCAGGCGGGACCCGATGCCAAGCGGGGCCCGATGAATGTCTTATAAAAAATAAGGGAAAATGACTTATTAAGGTGGTTCTCGACTATATGATAGGAAACAAATGGATTGTTTTTGTGGAGGCTGTGGTGGTTTTAGATGAAGTTTGTGTTGTGTTTTCAGTGAAGTATGTGGCTAAATAAGGATGGTCCGAGTTTTCTGTGGAGTTGGTGATCAACAGTGGGTGTTTTGATGTAATACATGGTGTTTGAAGGGTGGCTTCAGTGGTGAGTTTGACAGAAACAGGTGATGACAGGTGGTGGTTTTCTTGACTAGAGCATGTGGTATCGTGTTCTGATGGTTAGTGTTTCATGGTGGTTTCGATGGTGTGGGTTGTTCGGCTGAGATGATGATGGGGTGTGAAGGTGACAATGGCTGGTGTTCGGAGAGGGTGATGGGTGTGGTTTGTGGTGTTTTTTGAGGTCCGGTGTTTGAGGTGGAAGTCTGGTTTTGTGGTATGTAATGCTAGTAGATAGTGGTGGAAAATGGTTACGGTGGTGTGAGGTATGTGATGGTTTTACCGTGTAGTCTGGGGTGGAGATAGTAATGATTATGGCGGTTGACTATCTCCGCTGGTTGAATCTGTTAGGAAATGCGGCTATGGAGGGAAAATGTGGTACAATGGTAGGTGTTGGTTGTGAAGAAGATGGTGTGATGTGGGTGTTCTTGGTTTGATGGCAAACAATGGAGTTTATATTTCATTTGTTTATTGTTTATAATGTAACAAAGTATGGGTAGCACTCTAGGTAGCATCAGATCATGAACTTGCAAGAGTCGGTTACCATTGGATGCTATTTGAACAAAACAATTAGTTTGTTGGTATTTTTTTTATAAAAAACGATGGTATTTTTTAAACACATTAAATTTGAATTGTATTTTTTTGAACCTTTTTAAATCATAATTAATCAGTTTTTCCAAAAATAAATAAAAAAAATATTTGAAAATTAGAAAAGGCTTGCACAACTACCAACAAAAATGGCACGTCAATATACAAGTGAGAAAGACGATTTGATTGCTATATTGACCCTTCTCTCTCTGTATTTGGGGGTGGCGGATTCGTTTAACGGCGTTTCTCCCTCCTTCCAATGGCGAATAACAATTTGCAACACTCAGGTTTCGCCTACATCCTTCCTGATCTAATTGTTTTTGCAGTTAATCATCATTGCTTAAGATTGAACGATTAAAGGTCCAACTGATGATTTGTTTAGGGTTTGCATGTAATCGTTCCAGATTATCTGAATTGGAATTTGACGATTCGTAGTTGTTTTTAGCGTTTTGTCATTGATGTTATGAGATCTTGAGAGTTTTAACAGAATTCACATCATTTTGATTGTTAATTGCTGTTAAATCGATTCGTTAAGGAAACACACAGGGTTTTAACTTTTAATTGTTCATTCAGAATAGAATTTGGCAATTTGGCGTTGTTTTTACTTTTCAACATTTCGTGATTGATAGTATGAGATTTTTTCAAGCGATATAAGAGAATTCACATCTTCTGATTGATTCTTGGTTGCGACTTGCGATTAAGAACTTATCAACGTAAATCAAATAGATGTTTAGACTTTAGAGTTTCGATCTTTGTCGTAATTCAGGTAGTATTCCACCTCCAAAGCCATGGGAAGGAGTCGGATCAACATCTGGACCTGCTCCTTTTAAACCCTCATATCCTGGTAGCACAAGTGATGTAGTCGAAGCTTCTGGAACAGCAAAGCCAGGGGAAATTGTCCCCACAAAAGAAGCATCCACAACTAACCCAAATGCATTTGGAAGACCATGGATGCATCAAAATACATATGGAGGTGTTTCACTATTTCTAATTCCATATACTCGAAACCCAACCATGTTCTTGTGATGAATTGAATATTCTTATATTTGTTTGTTTACTTTGTATGTAAGGTGCGGGTTATGGTTTATATGGAAACAACGCATATGGAGGAAGTTATGGTTCTTATGGTGGAATCGGATCCTATAACACTGGTTTATATGGAGGCAACACTTATGGAGGAGGGTATGGTGGTATTTACGGTGGTGGTGGCGGCATGTATGGTGGTGGAGGAATGTACAACACTAGTTTTGGAGGTCCCATGGGTGGCGGTTATGGCATGGGAATGGGCGGTCCTGGTGGTCCTTATGGTGGTGGTCAGGATCCAAATAATCCATTTGGTGCTCCTTCATCTCCTCCTGGATTTTGGATTTCTTTGATGCGTGTGGTAAGGCAAGCTTGGTCAATTTGAATATGACAAAATGACCATTTTACCCTTATGTTATTATACAAGTGGTAATAATTTTGTGCATGATTACAATTTACAGATGCATGGAGTTGTTACTTTTTTTGGCCGGGTAGCTATGCTGATTGACCAAAACACTCAGGCGTTTCACATGTTCATGTCGGCTCTTCTTCAGGTATTTTTATTATTATTATTTTTTTTACTTTTAGAAGGTTGTAAACCACATTCGAATGTTTGATTCATCTCATTTTATCTAATATCTCAAAATATAACCTTATGATAAAATTGACATGTTTGTACTATATTGTATATGCAGTTGTTTGATAGGTCAGGATTGTTATATGGGGAGTTGGCAAGATTTGTGTTTAGACTTTTGGGTGTTAAAACAAAGCCTAACAAAATCCAACCCCGTGGACCCAACGGACCCCATGGTCCACAAAATTACATTGACGCACCAAAGGGTGCACCTGTTGCTGCATGGGATGGCCTGTGGGGAAACAATGCACATAGTTGATCCCTTTGAAGCAATTGGGAAATCTGGATAGTTTTTTTTCCTTCTTATTTTTTCAGCCTTATTTGGTACTGTGTACATGATCTTTTTTTAGTTTGTAGTAATTTTTTAGATCAAGGATCTTGGATATAATGATAATGTTCAATGCTTGGTTATAGCATAAGTATATTACTATAACAAGACAATAAACAAAGTATAATGCTATTATTTCCTAGAATATCTATGAAAATATAGAATGGAGTACTTTTATAAAAATGAAAAACTTTAATATAACAAGATGTTTTTAATAAGGAGGTCTTGGGTTCAATCTTAGACATAACTAACTCGTTACTTTTTTTAAATTCAATTTTTGTCTATGATATTACTTATTTTTTCCGTCCAAATTTGGAAACATGGTTGAGCAAGTTTGGCTAAATTGAAAAATAGACGTTGGATACTTCTAGATCTGATGTACGTTGTATCTTAGTTATTTTCTCTTAAGAACCCTTCTTTCTAAATTGCTTCTAAGTGACAAAATTCGTAAGAGTTCTTCAAGCATTTCAAGATTGAAACTCACACTATTTTTATCCATCTTTATCATTTACTTGCTACAATTTACATATTGGTTTGGAGTAAGACCACTCAAGATCATTTATTGCAAGTGTTTGAGTGATCCGTATTATCCACTTAAGTTAGTATTATATATATATATATATATATATATATATATATATATATATATATATACACACACACACACACACACACTAGCCGTTTACCCGCGCTAAGACACGGGTGCAAATATTCTTTCAGAAATTAGTTTCTAGAAGTGATTAGCTTTTTTGCACAAATAGTTTAGTACATCTAAATTATTTTGCAGTCCGAAGTAGCTGAGATATGTTACTATGTCTTGTAATCTTGCAAACTGAATTATTTTCAAGATTGAGAAGAATTTTAAAGCGGGTGTGAATTGTTCTCTTTGGTGCGCATTAGAAACATGTTGATTATCTCTTTTGATGAATGGTCATGTTTGAGAAACATGTAAATTACAAAAGAACAATTAGGGTTTTTCATTTAAAGTTTAGGGTTAAGCGTTCAAAAAGCACTCATTTTTAATTTTTTTTATGTGGTATTAGTATTTATTATGCGTGTGTGGTGGTGGGGTGGGGGAGGGGGGGTTGATACAACATATAAAAGTTTCTTGTTTCGGTTAAAAATAGAAATATATAGTTGTTTTTGGTTAATTATAAAAGTTGGTTATTGTTTTGGGTAAAAAAACAAACTATGCTATGGGATAAAAATAATCGTTTGTTTTTTTAACACAATGTCATTTTATAAAAACTATAATCAACTTTTTAAAATGAAAGACTCATACTAGTATATTTAGTTGGCTAAGAATGAAATTTACTGTATTTTTCCAACCGAGGTAAAACTATCATTTTGATTTTTTATTTTTCGTTTTTTTGTTATTTATGTCCTGAATGACTATTTAGGTAAGATCTGCTGGCTGAGTATTTTGTTTGATAACAATATTGTTTTTATAAACGTTTTTTCCGTCATAGTTTAATATTATGACATTTTTAGGTCAATTACGATTGTTTTTGATAAAAAATAATAAACATCTCAATCAGTGAACTCTCAAAATCTTTTGTTGCTACTTATTGACGTGAGAAAGAAATAACAAATTTTTGTTATGGAATACAACCAAAAAATAGCAAAAAAAAAAGCAATGAAACTACTCTGTCTAATTTTCTTACACACAAAATAACTTAACCCATAAATTTATTTGTTTAGTTTGTTGTTGATTAAAAGAAAACCTCAAATTCATAATTAATATTACAATTATATACAAGATTCAGGAAAGCCGTTTACCCGCGCTAAGACACGGGTGCAAATATTCTTTCAAAAATTAGTTTCTAGAAGTGATTAGCTTTTTTGCACAAATAGTTTAGTACATCTAAATTATTTTGCAGTCCGAAGTAGCTGAGATATGTTACTATGTCTTGTAATCTTGCAGACTGAATTATTTTCAAGATTGAGAAGAATTTTAAAGCGAGTGTGAATTGTTCTCTTTGGTGCGCATTAGAAACATGTTGATTATCTCTTTTGATGAATGGTTATGTTTGAGAAACATGTAAATTACAAAAGAACAATTAGGGTTTTTCATTTAAAGTTTAGGGTTAAGCGTTCAAAAAGCACTCATTTTTAATTTTTTTTATGTGGTATTAGTATTTATTGTGCGTGTGTGGTGGTGGGGTGGGGGAGGGGGGGTTGATACAACATATAAAAGTTTCTTGTTTCGGTTAAAAATAGAAATATATAGTTGTTTTTGGTTAATTATAAAAGTTGGTTATTGTTTTGGGTAAAAAAACAAACTATGCTATGGGATAAAAATAATCGTTTGTTTTTTTAACACAATGTCATTTTATAAAAACTATAATCAACTTTTTAAAATGAAAGACTCTAGTAGTATATTTAGTTGGCTAAGAATGAAATTTACTGTATTTTTCCAACCGAGGTAAAACTATCATTTTGATTTTTTATTTTTCGTTTTTTTGTTATTTATGTCCTGAATGACTATTTAGGTAAGATCTGCTGGCTGAGTATTTTGTTTGATAACAATATTGTTTTTATAAACGTTTTTTCCGTCATAGTTTAATATTATGACATTTTTAGGTCAATTACGATTGTTTTTGATAAAAAATAATAAACATCTCAATCAGTGAACTCTCAAAATCTTTTGTTGCTACTTATTGACGTGAGAAAGAAATAACAAATTTTTGTTATGGAATACAACCAAAAAACAGCAAAAAAAAAAAGCAATGAAACTACTCTGTCTAATTTTCTTACACACAAAATAACTTAACCCATAAATTTATTTGTTTAGTTTGTTGTTGATTAAAAGAAAACCTCAAATTCATAATTAATATTACAATTATATACAAGATTCAGGAAAGCCGTTTACCCGCGCTAAGACACGGGTGCAAATATTCTTTCAGAAATTAGTTTCTAGAAGTGATTAGCTTTTTTGCACAAATAGTTTAGTACATCTAAATTATTTTGCAGTCCGAAGTAGCTGAGATATGTTACTATGTCATGTAATCTTGCAGACTGAATTATTTTCAAGATTGAGAAGAATTTTAAAGCGGGTGTGAATTGTTCTCTTTGGTGCGCATTAGAAACATGTTGATTATCTCTTTTGATGAATGGTTATGTTTGAGAAACATGTAAATTACAAAAGAACAATTAGGGTTTTTCATTTAAAGTTTAGGGTTAAGCGTTCAAAAAGCACTCATTTTTAATTTTTTTTATGTGGTATTAGTATTTATTGTGCGTGTGTGGTGGTGGGGTGGGGGAGGGGGGGTTGATACAACATATAAAAGTTTCTTGTTTCGGTTAAAAATAGAAATATATAGTTGTTTTTGGTTAATTATAAAAGTTGGTTATTGTTTTGGGTAAAAAAACAAACTATGCTATTGGATAAAAATAATCGTTTGTTTTTTTAACACAATGTCATTTTATAAAAACTATAATCAACTTTTTAAAATGAAAGACTCTAGTAGTATATTTAGTTGGCTAAGAATGAAATTTACTGTATTTTTCCAACCGAGGTAAAACTATCATTTTGTTTTTTTATTTTTATTTTACTATTTAGGTAAGATCTGCTGGCTGAGTATTTTGTTTGATAACAGTATTGTTTTTATAAACGTTTTTTCCGTCATAGTTTAATATTATGACATTTTTAGGTCAATTACGATTGTTTTTGATAAAAAATAATAAACATCTCAATCAGTGACAACTCAAAATCTTTTGTTGCTACTTATTGACGTGAGAAAGAAATAACAAATTTTTGTTATGGAATACAACCAAAAAATAGCAAAAAAAAAAACAATGAAACTACTCTGTCTAATTTTCTTACACACAAAATAACTTAACCCATAAATTTATTTGTTTAGTTTGTTGTTGATTAAAAGAAGACCTCAAATTCATAATTAATATTACAATTATATACAAGATTCAGGAAGTCTAAAATAGATTTATAGTTAAAGCATATGTTGCTCTTTACTATTTTGCTTGTAAGAAAATTAGAAATTTGACTTCCTGTATATAATTGAAAGACTATTTAGATAAAGCATAAGAAATTTGATTTTATCAAGAACCATAGAGAGTTTACATAATGGGACTCTTTATTAGTAGAAATGTTAAGGATTACTCACTTGAGTTTCTGGATAACTAATTTGCATTCACTGCAACCCTATTTTGAATGAATAACATCAGCTCCTTGATAAATGAAAAATAAATTACCATAACAAAAGCTTTTTAGTCTCTAACCTGCCTTCCTGGATGGAATGGAATATCAGGGTCTCCGGTTAATTCAACATCAACGACACCAACCAAAAGGAAGATGTGATGAAATCAAGATCAAATGGTGAAATTTCAGAACTTTTATGACCAAAACAGAAATGATAATTGAGGTTAGAGCCTCGAAATAAAGGTTAAATGGTGTGGTTTTCATGTATGTTGCTCCATGTGATGTAACTAACAATGTCTACTTAGAATAATCGACTAAATCTCACATATGTTGCTCTTTAATGTTCTTCTCTTTTCTTTATATTCAGAAGTGGAGGTGAATAATGGGGATGCGGTGTACTCGTTGTTGTTTGGTGGTGCGATGGTGTTAGTAATGAGTAACTACATTTATAATGGTACCATTAAAGATACCAACATCCAAACCTACAATAGATGAAAACAAAAGCCCATGACAACACCATTCTTGACAAAAATATTTTAGCATGTTCCAGGAGAAATGACATACTCACATGTTGTCGGCCAGTCATACTCTCCATCGGTTGGCAATGTTGAGTGTATGACAACCTGGTAAGGTAAGAACCGGTAAATGCTTATTTTGATCTACAAGATAAAACATATTAAGTAATATGGGATACTTTTAGAAAACAATGGGAAAGATAAAGAACAAATCCAATGACTAAATTTAATTACTTGAAGTTACCACCACCTCCATCTGATTAACATCTCCTTCATGGAAAAACAAAAACATCATTTTCAATTAGTCAAAAATGATGTAATAAACTATACAAATTTCAGTAGATAATATAATTTACCTTAATGAAGTTCAGGAGAGAAAAAGTTTCTTATCTTGTTGTGACTCCTCTTATAGTGGAGCCCCTGGGTTCATTTTCAAAGATCTGGATATGAAGATGCTACATAAGATCAAATAATCAATCTTCTCTTAAAATTCAAATTTGAGGAAACATTTCTTCCCAAAACCTAATAGTTTGGAAGCGTGAAATGTGATATTAACCTTGGAAACATAAAAATTTCAACCTGTGAATCAAAAGAACAAAAACAAATGCTATTCCAAAAGCAAATAGAATAAATGATTAAAGAACAGAATGAAAAAATCATACCAATATGGGTATTATTCATGGCAACTATTTGAAAAGGCCTACCAGATTGTTCCATTTTGGGAACACAGCCCTTCAAGTTTCCTTTTGCAACCTGAAATCGTTATTTGTTTATTTAATAGCAGAAATGAATGAAAGACATGACCTTTTCATTGAGACTGAGATCATCAACATCGTTATTTGTTTATTTAATTGTGGTGGTGGCTCTTAGGTGTTTTTTTACAGAGAGAGATGGAGGAACGTTGTCGCTGTGTCAAAACATCCATGGTCAGGGGAGCTCGGGGAGCCTTAAGCTAGGGTTCTTCATGGAGATTACAGTGAGAGAGATGAAGCTATGTCTTCGGCCAATACAGCAAAATCGCAAAGTGCAAGAACAAAAACAGATACAAAACTTAAAAAATAAAATAAAATAATATAACAAATTAGGGATAGAAAACATAAATAACGTTAGGGCTCTTACCTGGTACTACCTGACAGGGGAGCGATGTCGATGTTTCTATCACCACCTCTTCCATCAACCTTCTGTTAATAAGAACCAGCACACCTACATGGAATCAAAGATGCACCATCAAGCAGAGAGAGAGAGAGAGAGAGAGAGCACAAAGAAATTGCAGAATGTAAACACCTAAATAGATAATTTGTAATAGGCGATGGCATTGACTGAGCGTGGGGATGAGTCTCTTCAAACTATCGTGTATTCCGGAAGAAGAGGGGTTTTCAGAAAAATAGGAGCGGAGAAGTTGCCCTTCTGTTGAAATTGTTGGACGGGATATGGAAGGGAACTGGGTTAAAGCCATAGTAACTTGACTTAAGGTTTAACACATATGTTGAATTGAACGTCTCATAAGCAAAACCATTAGGCGGTAAATTAGAGATTTGTTTGACTGAGTTTTAAGTGAAAATCAAATGAAAAAGAAATGACGGATCAAGATAAGATAAGGAGTGATGGGTAAAGAGGGAGAGTTAAGTGATATCATGCATTAGATACTTGTATGTTGTGTTTAACCTTTTGTACTACTTAAATTTAAGACTTTCTTGTCCTAAAAGAGCTAAATGTTTTTTAAGGTATATATATATATATATATATATATATATATATATATATATATATATATATATATATATATATATATATATATATATAGGGCTAGGTTATTTTGTTTCTTACATTTATTGTGTGCTAAAATGCACCAATTGGAATTTAGTAAATTAAATAATTATTTAATTAAATAAATATAGATATTAAATGATTTCCATAATTATATGTATATTAAATGATATCCATAATTATAATTCTTTTTTTATGGAAACTAATTAATTCTATCATTAATGTCAGCAATAACATTCTTTCAGAATAAATTCGCATCTAGGTTTTTATATATGAGTTTGTATTTTGTTTCAGGACCCACTCACTTAAAATACAATAAAGTTGCATTGAATATGAAGAACGAGAGTGTATTCTATTAGAATACACTCTCATTCTGCTGGAATACACTCTCTTCTTGTAGATATGAATTCATTCTGAAAGAATATTATTGTTGACATTAATGACAAATTTAATTAGTTTCCATAAAAATGAATTATAAGTATGGATAGCATTTAATATACATATAATTAATACTAAATTCTTATTGGTGCATTCTAGCACACAATAGATGTGAGAAACATTTGAACCTACCTCTCTCTCTATATATATATATATATATATATATATATATATATATATATATATGAAGGATCATTTGAGAACTTATAGTTTCCCGAGAACTAAATGTGAACCCTTGGATTAAAAAATTAAATGACTAAGATGCTTAGTGGCATATTTGTAAATAGATAGAAAATTAAAGAAAGAGGGGTATCTTTATTAGATTAGGAAGGGGCATTATGGGAATCAAATGATAAATTATATTTTTAAAACCTCTCTGTGTTCTCTTTCAATCGTCAACAAAGTTCAGAAAATCATGGATGTTCTCTCTCTCTCTCTCTCACCATCGTTCCTTGTTTTAGGTGGTGGCGTCAGATGAATCTATCCCCGTACGATCTCTCCGCCTCCGATTTCCTCCATAAATATTGTCACATTGAGGATCCGATTTGATGCACAAACTAAGATCGACGATCGACCTCCGTCACCATCGATTTTTCTGCAAATGATCGATGATGTCGGCTCTGTTGTGCGATGTCACCTTCGCCTGCGTCAGATGGTGTCGTCGTCGTCGCCGCCTCGACCTCCATCAGATGACTTCAGAGATATCAACGGTTATCGGTAAGTTTACAATCACTCCTTTATAAATCATCGCTTCAAATCACAACATCGATTCGACTAATCCCTGAAGAATTGAAGAAGAAGCTTCGAAAAATGTCTCCATCGTCTTCTCGCAATGCTCTCATCATTATCGCTTATTATGTTTCTGTTATCGTCAACTGGTAAGCCTAATTCCTCCTCCAATTATCTCGTTTGCGATTCAACAGATCCTTTAGCTTTTTGTCATTGTAAGTCTGATTTCCTTATGTTGATTAGGGTTTAGTAGTCAACTGATGAGATATACAACAATTGGCGATCGTTATGCACCTCCTCCCTCTTAGTTTGAGGTATTCATTCCAATTTTTTTTCTTGGTTATGCTAAATCAGGTTGTTGGTTCCAAAACTTGCTTGAGGACATTTTTGACCTGGTTAATTTACCATTTGATCACACATTTACAATTAGCCTTGGGAGTAAGACATATCGATACTTTTGCCTCATTAGTCATGTGTGAAATAAGAGTTCAAATATATCATTTTTCAAAAATTATAGGTTTGATATTTAATCATGGTCTTTATGTTAGTTGTATTATTCTAACGAATTTCAACTTTGAAATATAAATATGTATATATGTTTCTTCATCTTACCAATTATCTTGTTACTTCATAATGTTCGTAACAGAGCTTGCTTTAGACTTCAATACCTCAGGAGCATAAAATAAAAGAAGGGCTCTACATGATGAGATGATGGGACTGAAGGATGAGATACTCCATCTTTCTTGGTTTATTACATATGCTTTGTCGGTGAGTTTCTTTTCAAAAGAAATTACTTTCCTAGTATGTTGATATTACTGTTTGTTTCTAATAATTTATGTTTTCTGTAGTTTGCAATTTCATCTGGAATCATTAATGTCTGTACAATGGTCACATTGTTTAAGTACATTGATAAATCATTGGTATTCATGCATTTCTTTTTGTTTTCTTATTCTCATAGTTGGTGAATGGATTTATTTGAACATTGTATTCATTGTTTCTAACAGGCTTACAAGATGATTGAATCTTTTCTTACTAGAGGACTTGTGTAAGTTAATCAAAACTTTTTCTGTTTTCAATTGTCACAAAATTTCAATTCACTTTCTGTTTCTCTAATGAAAAAACTACTAAATTACATAATGGTGTTTGGTTATGCATATTCAGCCTATGAATGCTTCAAATCAGTTGAAAAAATCGATCAACTTTATACAACTTTTTTTTACTTACTACAATATCAAGTATGTAGTGATTCACATGTAAATCACAAGTGAATCACATATTAATTGCATGTGATTCACATGTAATTCACATATGAATCACATGTAATTTACATGCAAATCACAAGTGAATCGCGTATGAATTACATGTGATTTACATGTAAATCATAAGTGAATCACATATGAATTACATATGATTCACATGTAAATAACATGTGAATCACATGTGATTCACAGGTGAATCACATGTAAATCACATATGATTCATATGTAAATCACAGGTGAATCACATATGAATTACATGTGATTCACATGTAAATCACAAATGAATCACATATGAATTACATGTGATTCACATGTAAATCACAAATGAATCACATGTAAACCACATGTAATTTATATGTGAATCACATATGAATTACATGTAATTCACATGCAAATCATAAGTGAATCACATATGAATTACATGTGATTCACGTGTAAATCACATGTAATTCACAGGTGAATCACACATGAATCTTACATGATATATACATGTGCATTTTTGTGATTGTTCTTGCATTAATCAATTTTTTTTTTTAATTTTCTTGCAAATTTTGAAGAATTTGTGGAAAATTTTGAAGATGTAAAAAGTGAAGTTGAAGAAAATATGGAACTTGATATGAAAAAATGATAACATTGTAAATCTTTGTAGTTTTTTATTTTATTTTATTTTGTATCGAATAAAATACTTTTACTATTATGTTTATAGATTAACTAATAAAAATAAGACTTTTTTATTATTTACTTACGAATATTATAGTATAACAAATATGCATATGTAGCGATGATTAATAAAATTGGAATTTTTTTATAAAAAAAAATAGCCGTTTTTTTTACAAAAATTATAGTTTTTTGGAAAAACAATGCGAATTGAAGTTTTTTTTTTTTTTGAAAAAATGCGGTATTTTTACAAAATTTGTAGTTTTTTTTTTGAAAAAAATGCAATTTTTTATTTAAAAAATTGTTGTTTTTTTTTGAAAAAAAAATGCAGTTTAAAAAAAGACAGTTTTTTTGAAAAGAATTGCAGTTTTTTTTTTAAATTGCAGTTTTTTTAAAAATTTATTTTTTTCAAATTTTTTTAAAATTAATATTTTCTGAAAAAAAATTAAAAAATCTCCATTTTTAAAAAAAATCAAAAATTATTTTTAAAAAAAATATCCGAAATTTGATTTATTATGTTAATTTTTGTTCAATAACACAAAAAAAAAACATTACATGAGAACGGTAAGATTACGATCATGTCCTTAATGAGTTAATTTTGATCTAACGCTCCACCTTTAATTCTCAGGTTTTCGGGAAACTATGAGTTCTCAACCGATCTCACCCCTATATATATATATATATATATATATATATATATATATATATATATATTAAAAGAGAAGCTCCGTTATGAACAGTTCTATGTTCTGATTGGTGGGTTTTTTGGGGTAAAATTATTAAAATGTGTAAATTTTAGAAAACGATTATAGGCAAGAATCTTTACAATCTTTTTGCTTTCCCTTGATCGTGGGTCGGTGACCTTACTATTCATCGGCGATACATGTCGTGTCCGTCAACTTTAATCTGTTCTTCTTCTTCTACGTGTTTCTCTATGTGATTCTACCTTTCTTTTGTCCAATAGAATACTTCTAGATATCTCCCACCGGCTACATCTTGATCCTCCGCCACTTTAACTCACCGTCTCAGATAAGCAACCTCATTTCTTCACTTCACCCTCGATCTGCACTTACAGTCTCCTCTCCTTTTGCGGACGAAGATCCAACCTTTGATTTCGGCTTTGAGGTATGCTACACTTGGTGCAATTCGTTGGTGTGACAGCGAACCAACATCCAGACTTTGATTTCGGATTTGAAGTATGCTATAGTTCGTATTTTAGAAGTGTGAAACGTGTCTCTATCTCCTGTTCATTTTTATCTCTTCTCCTCATTGTTCTTCCCATCTTACTGCCGGTGTAGGGTTCCATCTCTATATGGCGGTTGATTTTGACTCCTTTGAATGATCATCATCATGAAGGATCCAGTTCTCAGATTTTTTTGTTTCAGTTGCGGAATTTTTCAGTGTATGATATCTTAAATCAGCCAACGAAATTTGCTTGGTTATGTTCAGTTTCTCCAATTTACATTGTTTTCATGTTGTTTCTCTGATCAAGGTGTAATATTTTTGATGAATTGGGGATTTGTTCTGATTGTCTAATTTTTACAGGAAATTGAAAGTTGTTTTGATGTAAACCAAGTGCTCGCTAATTTGCTTCAATCTCACCGTCTTATGGTATAAGCGTGCTTAGAACAACCCTAACGGATTCTGATAGAAAATCAAGAAGGATTTCATGTCGTTGCTCCTTCACCGCCTCAGCCACCATGACCACCTAGGACAATTGCCTCGAAGCCATATTCGCTTAAAAACGAAAGAAATGATAAGGGCCGAGAGACAAATATATATCATGGTAATCCCTTTTCATCTCTTATTTTCGGTTTGCTATTTGTTATGTTTTTTTATCAATTTCGATTTTGTTTCTTATTTTTAGTTAGTCCAAGAGGAATAGCAGAAAATGCATACATTAAAACGGTTGACAACAGGGGAAATTGATCGAATTTTTTGAGAAAAGTGTGATGGAAGTGGAATCGTGATATTTTTTGTTTGCTGTAGGTACAATTGTTTCATGCCTGAAAGGTTTATTATGGTTTAGTAATGGATTCTATCTTCTACATGTTTAATTTTCATTTGTGTAGCCATTTATGGTCATTTTTGGTGGGGGTTTGAGGAAACGATGTTCTGGGCGTGTTCGGCAAAATTAGCTGGTAGCGGGTAGCTTGTAGCGGGTGAGGGTAGCTTGTAGCGTTTTGTTAAGCGCTACATGAAGTAGTGCCAAACAAGGCTTTCTGTTCAAAACGGAGCGTTTTGTCAAACGCTAGAAGCTAGAAGCTCTCAAACGCTCCCAAAAACTCCGTGTTGAACACGCCCTCTATGTTGAACTTTCTAATCAAATTTGGGCAATGCTAAGTATCTGTTGTCAAAATTTATTCACTTTTTCTTATAGAAACCTCACGTAAATGATCAAAACTAATCATTAATTAGGATTTTATCGATTAATTTTATGTAATTTCTTGATCAATTTTTCGACTTTTCATCAAAGCACCCTCAATTGTTAATGCACCATGGGTTGGTTTCACTTCTTAAAACTCTACATGTACCATCTATTTCTTCTTTTGGCTTTTCTACTTCTATTTCTTTTTATTCTCCATTTCATTATTTGATTTTGTTTGTTGAAAAAGAAATCAAAAGAAATGAGCTTCTATCTTCTTTATATCTATTCTGATTTTGTTATTCGGTATACCTAAACTGCTTCTCACACGAATCTTACAATTCAGGAGCTAATAATCCATTTAAGGCCTAATATCTAAAAATGGTAAGTGTGGCACCAGTCAAATTTTGGTCAAAAATGAATTGATCAATAATCATAATTGGGATGAACCAAGTGGTAGAGTTTGTAACAAGGTTTCCAAAAACATAAAGAACACTGAAATCCGAGTTATAACGAAGAAGTTATGACCAATCGAAAATCCGCGATAAAACCGGCAAAACACTGTTCAGTGTAAAAAGTGAATTTTCGATAAAAGGCTTTTTAGCCTTAACAATCTAAATAAAAGTTGTAGAATATGTTAAACCGAGAACGTTCATAAAAAGAACGTGAAAATCCGACTTCGTATGAGGAAGTTATGATTTTTCGAAGTTTCGGTTTAGCAGTAGACAGCTAAAAATTCGAAATACAAATCGATCGATATTTAGCCGACGCAACTTAAACGAGAATCGAAGGTCTCATCAAAAGTAGCACAACGGTAAAAAGACAGACGAAAACGGACGTCGGATGAAGAAGTTATGAATTTTTAACGGATTCCCGTCCCGGTCTGTTTAAAATAATAATATTAAAAATAAAGTCAAAATCAGCCGAAGAAGTCTAAACGAAAGTCTTAGAGTGTGATTTTACCTACGCGTGCATATAAAGAATGTAAAAAACGGAGCTCGTATGCGAAAGTTATGATTTTCGCAAGTTTTTGGCACGAAAATCAGAAAATCTTGAAACCGGGAATTTCGCATGCAAGGCTTCGGACACGTCATCATCACGTGCGAACCTCCACGTGTCACCTTCGGGTTGGACCGCAAATCGTCGTGTCACCATCGGATTGGACCGCAGCCGCGGTCCAGTAACGAGCCTACACCTTCGCATCGGACACCCCTTCGCATGCGTGGCCTTCTCCCATTGGACCGAAGGATGGTCAAATCCGAAGCCTCCATCTGTCCGAGGCACGTGCCTCGCACCGGGTCAGAAGCTCCACCGCCTTAACCTTCGCACGTGGGCTTCGCTCCTTCCGACGCGTGTGCTGCTGACTCATGCCTCGCTTCGCCACTTGTCCGATGACTAAGCAGCTTCGGCCGAACCCTCGCACCCCTATATAAAGGGTGCGAGCCTTCTCGGATGGAAGGGTTTTTCACCCCATTTTTCACCCATTTTGCACCATTTCACCCCCTCGACTTTCTCACGACCCCCGAAGGCCCCGGTATCGCGTCTAAAGCCCGAAGCAAGCCCCAGAGCCCCGGAATTCTCGAGAATTCATCCTCTCTCCTGTCGAAACGCTGCCCATTTTGAGCCAGTTTTTCGTCAAACAAACTCTTTTCCGGGAAACAAACGCTGCCCGAATCACTCCGCTTATCAAAGTGAGTTCATACCCCTATAATTAACCTTTTCAATGGTTTTTAAATACTTTTTAGGGGAGAATACAAGTTAAAACACAATATTAAATTGTGTTAATAACTGTATGTGATAATAATCACACAAAATGATTCCGTATGGTTTTAAGAATTATCAAATACTTCCAAAATAACGTGAAGCCATGTTAAATCTTTAAAGTCATGTAAAAACTCCGTTAAATTCTTGAAAAATGTTTTATAAGCTATTTCAAAGTATAAATGCCAAAATCAAGTGTTATATATGTATAAATATATAAATAAAATTTGAAGGGCTTAGGACTAATGAATTATCCTATATCATTTTCCTTGTTTGGATGTGGAATTAGGGTTGTATTGTTTGTCCCCATGTCGTTTCCTTCTTCTCTATATATATATTATATATAATATATATATATATATATATATATATATGAGTACCAAAGGTTACTCTCCTTTGGTATCTTCACCTTTTGTATGAGGCTCAGCAAAGTTGTTCATCCATGAGAAACCATGCTAATCAGATAGAACATAAAATTATAATAGGTATAATTTATCATTCAAAACTAAAGATACAAGTATACATTACCTGTATACTTTCCAAGGGAATTACCAAAATTCTTCAACTCTACCAAGATATGTATAATACCTTAATATACGAATAAATATTAAAAAGTAAAGATACATCATGCCTAGTTTGCATTAACAAAGGTACGATACAGAGTACCAGGTTAGCAAACACGTGGTAATGTCGGGTTTGCATTAACAAAGGTACGATATACAGAGTACCAGAGTTAGCATCACGAGTAAATACATCATACCGGGTTTGCATTAACAAAGGTACGATATACAGAGTACCAGAGTTAGCAATCACGGTATAATACATTCTGTTCTGCCGGGTTTGCATTAACAAAGGTACGATATACATAGTACCAGAGTTAGCAATCACGGGTAATAATACATTCTGTCGGGTTGGCATTAGCAAAGGTACTATACAGAGTACCCGAGTTAGCAAACTCGAGGTAATAATACATCTTACCGGGTTTGCATTAACCAAGGGTACGATACAAAGTACCAGAGTTAGCATTCATCGGGTAATAACAATAATACATCGAAAATCTCGTTGAAACAATAAATTTGTGAGACCCTTCACGGTGTGCTTATCCAAGTACGACCTTTTTAAGTCCTGAACTATTAGCCAGAATCTCTTGTAGGGAGAGCGTGAATTTGTGTATAGATCTATATGGGACTGACAATCCCGCACCTTTACTGTTCGCTACAGTTTGGCCGGCAGGCCTAGGGTGTCAAATATCATACCGTTCCGACGCCTGAAGAACGTCGCCGCAGGCATTTCCGTCATATTAGTATGGTTAATAGGACTCACATGGATAAAACAACGAGTGAATTACAAAGTAATATACTTCTCTTATAACAGTAAGAAAAGTTAATTACATCCCGACCATATATACCTTCAGTAGTTTTTACTTACATTAAAAGCTACGTATCATGAAACCATGTATTGTACTTCTGGTTTTAAACATTTAAAACCACAAGGCAGTATTATGGATAATACAATACTCTCCAGGATTAATACTAAGGAACAAATATAACTAAGAACACTGTTACAAATGAAACGGTTTATGAGATTAAACTACTTTTACAAATGAAACGGTTTATGGGATTAAACCACTTATCAAATGAAACTTAGTCATTCAATCTTTGTAAACTAGTATAACATAAAAGACCTTTAGTGGTTAATTCTATAATTCCTTAGTTATTACATCAAGTTGTACATAAGTAATATCCGATTGACAGTGAAATGTGTGACTTCCGCCTTACTTCCTGTTCCTTGTTTGGTTGTGGGCTTAGGGCAGATACACCCATTTAACTGTCAATTCAATATTATGTTATGTATATTCAGTATAAACTAAGTAATTACAGAGGGAAACTATTGAGGTTATCAGTTAATCACCTCAGGAGATATAGGATTTCCTGGAGAAACCAGTGAACTTATTCAAAGAACTTAGGGTATACTTAACATAACTAAAATACTTATGAACTCACCAGCTTAAATGCTGATCTACTCTTTCCAAATAACTTGTATTCTCAGGAATCCAGTAGACAGGTACACTCCCGAAGCTTTTGAGAAGACTACCTAGTACCGTACCGTGACTCTTGTCTTCTCCTGTACCTACTTCAGTGTTTGAATATGTAATGTTTAAACGCTTATGTAAAACTTATACTTATTAATGCAATGGTTGTTTGTACTTTGATTACTATATTGCATGTGTTGTGATACTTACCTAAAGTCCTCCGCCCCGAACGTTTCCGCCGTTCTGGTTTGGGGGTGCGACAGATTGGTATCAGAGCAGTGTTTATAGTGAACTCAGTATATTAGTCATAAAAGATATACAAATAAACCCATTGGGATAAAACACTCTGACCAAGAGTTATACTTTAAAAATATATTAATATTTTATAAAAGTATAAGTACATGCAGAGTATATATACCAGAATGAGTATCACAAGAAGAACAAAACTAAAGTATTTAGATGTTGGACATTACAGTTAAACCTAGACAGTGACGTAATCATATCTGGGATCAATATAGCCTGATCAACTATATTCATCCGAGATATGACCAACATGTGTTTGGGGAGTGATTGTAGTGTTGCAACAGGTCTAAAACTTACCCAAGTACCAGAAGAATTCTAGAACCAAACATAAAGACTAAAATACTATGGGAGTATTTTAGGCTGCTATAACAAGAAAACTGAGAACTTGTTAAGTTCTTGTACCTAGAAGCCCAAGAATCAAACTCATAACTAAAATAACATGGAGGTATGTTACATACCTCTGGGGAAATGTTAAAAAGATCTTTTCTGATAGGTCTATAATTACTAAGTGGATACGTTAAGGTTATATATAGCCGAGATTTTATAGACTTAGAATATGTGATTTTCACTCTACTTCCTTTTCCTTGTTTGGATGTGGTTTTAGAGTAGGATTACTTATTCAAATGTCTATTTGATCTGGATTATATATAATCGGTACACACCATGTGATTATAGAATGACCAGAAAGAATCACCTTCGTAAAAAATTTCTCATAGATTCTTTAGGTATTCCCATTCTCGTATAAACCCGTTAGATAAACATAGTTACTCCAGCAATCAATAGAAGAGTCAAGGAGAATCCAACATAATTTCATTACGAGAATCCCAAGAAAGAAACATATGAGAAGTACATAAACTATAGAAATCATTTAGTGCCTTTACCCTATTAAGGACACCAATGAGATTGTAACATCCGGATTTTCAGAGGTAATATGGTGTAGGTTAATCTTGTGATTAAAGGAAGGACTCGACGAGTTGATGGTCCAACTCACCGAGTCGAGCCGGGATTTCTCCCGTGGATTTAATGAGTGGACTCGACGAGTCCGAGGAGAGGGACTCGCCGAGTAG